GCTCCGAGAACTCTGAGTCTCAGCTAGCACTCGTTTCTGAATCTTTATCCGTGTGAGAGAGAGAGATAGTTTTTTTAACGTGTTCATCAAAAACACAGATTGGGGAAGAAGTCAAGTCTGTTTTCTGTTTATCTTTTCCCCCATTTTCACTTGTATTTTTACCTTCCAGAGCTCGTCCAAAAAAGTCACAGATTTAGTCTAAACTCTAGGATGGGATGCACAAGACTTGCTGGTATGATCATGCGTTTCTGCACTAAACCTGACAGGTCGCGAACAAATCGTCAACTGTATGAATGGTTACTGCTTTACATTTGCCTTGTGCGCTCACTAGCGTAAATCATCGTAAATTCTGCATAAAGGAAAATGAACAACTGCGCAATTTTCCAGTCTAATTTCCATGGGTTCGCAGATGGATTATGTGACTACAGTGATGATTTGTACCTAACTTTTTCCAGTGTTTTTCCGAATGTAACTGCAGTCTAGTTACTCCTTCACTTCATTCCTGCCTAATCAATAGTTTCCCAAATTCGAATTCAGTGCCTAAGTACGCCGAGCGGAAGACTGTTTCAAAGATTATTCGAACCCCAGAAAATTAGGAGGTTGAAATTTTGGAAGCATATGCACCGTTTGAGGTTCAAAATTCAGCCTTCACGTGCCCGAGCGTGAAATTTTTAGTGGGAGATTTCACAAATTAGGAACCAGTCAACATTTCAACTATTTTTGCACAGATCAGAGTGCAAAGCAGTGAAAATCCTCAAAAGGCAAACGTTGGCAGAACGAAACCGCACAAAACACATGATCGCACGGGCTGCGCTGGTGTGCACCGCTATTTGTTCAGTGTTGCAGCGCAAAATTCGCTTAGATTTCTGCAAGCTGCCAAATTCCTAAAAATGGACAAAATTTCTCAAAACTCCGCTCCCGAACTTCTGGATTTTACTTTGAGACTTCTCGAACCTTGCTTAGGTCTCACCAAGAGTCACGCCACGTACACATCGTACGCGACACGGAACCACGTAGGATACTTACGGACCGGGGTATGCGAGCAACGGGAGCTGCTAAGCTCCCGTTCACTGATTACTTGTGTAAATGTTGTCGCTGACTCCAAGTGGGTTGCTTTTTCGATCGGAGGTTAGATTTCCTTCCCGTCCCCTATCTCTAGCTATAGGATGCTGGGCTAAGGCTTCTCCCGGTCTTGCATTCTAAAGAAAGTAAAAAAAAAAGTAAAACTTATATTTTGCTTAATGCTGTGCTGATTTCTTGACAAATAGGATCTTTTTTGTAGAATTAGTTTCAAAATATTTGCAAGTCATCTATTGCCACCGAATGAGCGGATATTTCGATATTAGAGAAGCGGCCAAACGAGTAAACAAGTCGCGCATCCGTAGTTTTCTAACTTTTCTCAAAATGGGTCTACAAATTTGCTCGGAGAACTTTTTCGTCCGCTCTGTTCAACTGCATTTGAAAATTGTCTAAACGAACATAATGTATTCGGTTCGTTAACGCATCCAGGTTGCATATTTCATTTTTATGAGTTTTGTGCTGTGCGGCGGCTGCACAAAACGCATATTGTCATGGGGTCCGCCTGTGTTGGGCACCCCTCACTGATGAGCATCAAAACCATCGTGCTGGCGAGGGGTAGTTGCAGTGCTGTAAAGGAGTGTATGCGACTTGATGGACCGAAATACTCCTCCCCCTCCAGCGACTTTTACATTTTGCATACACAGCATATGTATATATATATATACGTATATATATATATATATATATGTATATATATATGGTCATAAAG